TAACCGAGATATATATATATAGTTTATACTTAACAAGTAATGATTGAACAACTTAACAACTTGATTGAAATATATATGTATAGTTTATACTTAACAAGTGATAATCTTCCCAAGATTACCTCATAACTCCTTAGAAAAAGAGTTGCTCTGAAACCTAATTATAATGAAATATTAAAAGAGTAAAAACTACTAATTTTTAATGAAGTATTATTTTAAGATTTATAGTTTATGATTATTCAATATCAATGGTTAATGAGGAAAATATTGGGATATAAAATATTTTTTTAATTGGATCAATCTTAATAAGATCCTAAATTGTGTAACTTAAATTTTAATTGTAAATATTATACTCAACTTATTTCACGGAATATTTTCATTTTTATTTTATAGGCCGTATTATTACCATAGAAAGTCAGGAAATGAAAACCAAACAGTCAAGTGATTTCGAGCCAGATAAATCTAGCTGGATCGAAAGTGGACAAATGGCAAATCATTTCCTTTTTGTCATAAGAATTTTCTTTGAACTCTCGGACGCAGAAGTTGAAGAAATAGGTAAGTTTTCATTTCTTGGCATTTATTAGCCCAGCCACAGAAAGTAGTCAGCATTTGAAAAGACCCATGTGAAAAAAATGGTTGTGTATATTTGTTAATACCATAAGCTTCAAAAAAGCTTTGACTTAAAATTTAAATATAAATACTTCAGTTATTAGAGCAGACAGAACTATCTAATTCCTTCAAAATAAATCCTAATGCTGAAACACTTGTGCTACCGCTTTTTATTTTTTGAAAAGAAAACCTTGTTTTAAAACGACGTTGATTCAAGGAATTTGTGGTGAGAAAGAAAAAAAGATCATGAGAAAAAAACCTAAAAGTGATTAAAAAAATTTTTAAAAGTAAGCATTTTTAAAATAAATTTTCATACGTTATACCACGAAATATGAAAAAAAAAATTTTTTTAAATAAAAAAATCGTGAACTTTCTACTTATGATTGTCGCTTCCAGGAGTAGGAATTTTAAAATTAACTTTTGGCCACTCCTTTTTTGTTTGATGATTAGATAAAGAAAAAATATCAACAAAATTATCACCTAAATTTACGATACCAATTTTTAACCCTTTCAGAACCGTGATCAAATATACGCAATTCTCTCCTTTCTCGGCTTATGGTATCATTACATATATAAAAGTCTCCCCCCCCCCAATATTAGTCCCTGGGTATCATATATGAGACTAGTATTTCCGATTTCAGCAGCCTTAGAGTATGATCACATGGGCGCGATTTTAACTTTGGAATGTTTTATTCTAATTTTTAATCGATAGTAAATAGCTGTTGAAATCCGTTACAATTTCAAATAATGCCTCACAGGTCATATAATATCTCAAGGTGACATTCAAATAATGTCACCTTGAATATACGCCTTCGGTTCCAAGTTTTTCTTTCTAGTTTTCTTAATTTATTTGATCCCAGGGTATTTAAACAAACAAACAATTACACGCGTTTCGAGAGGATAAATGAATTAGACACGTGAACACTGAGTTTTTGTTTATATTTTGATACAGTCGGAAAAAGCTGGAATGTTTATTGGGTGTAGATTTGTCGTTTGGGGTTTGTTACAGATAATATTTTGCATGCTTTGGCTTAGACTTGAAGTTGATTTTTAAATATTGCGAACACTTTATTACTGATTATAAATTACAGAGCATTTAATCGCAGTGATGATTTTATATGAATTTTTATATGAAATTAGGCTTAGCAGAAAAATCGCTTGGTCCCGTGCGTAAGTATAATCTCGGAGCGTACTCTCGAAGCTCTTCTTTCTCCCTGTGCCGGTCCTGAATATGTAAACCCCATGCTGGCCTGTATGAATGTGAAAAACCTTATTTAAATCAGCGAAGAATAGTTCACGAAAAAGCGTTAAGGAAAATATTGTACATAAAGAAAGAAAAATGAAACGAATCATATGTATGGGAGCTGAGAAACTTTAGTTACGAAGTTTGAAAACGTATCTTCAAGATAACGCATAAACGACTTTTGTAGATTGTAGAATAATGCGACGAGCACTTTGCGCAAGCTTACAGCTCTTGTATTGCTATCGACGACTTTCCAAGTTTATAGTTACGCTGACACTATCATAAATAAATAATTATGATGCCCTATCACTTCTGCACTTTTCATCAAATGGAGATGAAATTTTGATACAATAATTTTAATCCCATTTAGATAATGAAATAAAAAAAAAAAAGTTTCTTTTTCGAAGCTTACAGGTAGGTAAAACCCGAAATGAAATATTAAAAATTTCTTCAAATTTCTTTTTTTTTCAATAAAATATTTTTTTTTTACCATTAACACTGGCTTCATATATATATATATATATATATTTTATATGTTTGTTTGAGATGGGTTTTTGCTTTTGT